CAACTGCATTGTCAAAACCCAGTTTGAGCCGCATTGATATTTGATTATTTTGAGTAGTATTTAATTAGTATTAGTTTACATGTCAATTAAAAAAATTATCCACTTAAGCATTTATAATTTTATCAAGTATTTATGTATTTTATAATATATATAGAGGAAGGATCAACTTATTCCAATGTAAATTTTTTAATTTTACACATTTTTATAATTATTTATTTCAATAGATTCAAGGACGAAATTAAATCAATTTTTTCTCTTTTTGATTTATCTCTTTTATCTCTTAAATGTATTAAAATCAATGGTTAGAAAAAATGTTATACATATCATTTTCATTAATATAAGTTGATCTTATCCCATATGTATGTATATATATATATATATATATATATATGATATGATTAACATAACATATTTTGTAATGTTTGCACTATAATTTTATACATATCATTTATATAATAGTACAAATTATAATATATATATATATATAGCCTATAGATATAAAAAAATATGAGGAAGAATCAAATTATACATTTTTTTAATTATTGATTTTAATAGATCAAATAAATAAGAGAGATAAGTAAAAAATAAAAAAAAAAACATGATTTAATTTCATCTCTTAAATTTATTGAAATTAATGGTTAAAAAATATGTAAAATTAAAAAAATTATTTTGTATAAGTTTATCCCTTCTATAAAAAAAAGATATATTATATAATTAAAATAAAGATTAAGTTAGGTTGGGTTTGGATTTTAAATTAAATCAGGTTGGATTTGGATATGTTGGAGAAAAAATGAATTTTTTTGCTAAAACCTTAAATAAACTTAATATTTTTGCCCAAAAAATAGAGCGAATCTTCAAGTTTGTATTGGTAGTCCCACCTTTAAACATGTCTAATTTAAAGTCACTGCAATAGACAATCCATGAATCCACCTTTAAACGGCATTGTGAATTGTTATGCTATATATCCAAGAGTGAGGACATTTCTTTGAATTTTCATATCTTTTTTGTAACAAAAATCTCTAACAACCGCTAAGTGAGGTTTAAGTTTAATTTAATTCAAGGTATTTACCATTCTCCATCTCAATTTATTGTGCTGGAAGCAGGACACCATCAAAATGGCTTTCGGCCCTCTTCGTCAATTATGATCACAACCCAAAAACTTTCCTTTTCTCTTTACATGTGGGCATTAAATAGTAAAGCGAGACTCATTTCATTGCCTTTATACTACAATTTTAATGCTTTCGGCATACAGTCTGTCCATTCTCGTGTGCCTTTGACATTTATAACACTTTTCAACGATTTTGTTGGCTTTTCACTTTTCATTATCTATAGTGGGCGCTGTCATTTTGGTTTGTTGGTGCACTTTCGGACATGGATTAATCGATATAATTGTACATTGATGTCTATGCTGATTATTAGTGTAAATTAATTTTATTCATTAAGTTTTTAAACTTCACAAAAAAATTTTAAATTATATTTTTAAAAATGCCGCTAAAGCATTTTTACATATCAATCAACACATAAGCTGACACATGTAATTAACAACATTTGAAGAAAATACAATTGCAAAAGCCATTTCATCTCAATATTAAAAGTATAGAGGTGCCAACCAATTGGACCAATCATTAATGGACAATTCATATCATTAAAGGCCGCAAAAGTTGTTATATATTACCTACACAATAAATTAACCACAACTCAAAACTTTGGATGAAACAACCACACCTAAATTACCCAATAGTGACGAAATTTACCCTTATGAACATCAGTCAAAGTAACGGCTAAAATATACAAGACTTTCAACCCTGGAAGAAGGGTCTAGTTGTAACCACCAAAGAAGAAGGCCTAATAGTGACAAATGGTGTGTTTGACTTTAGTGCCAACCCCCCCCCCCTCCCAACTGCATTTATATCTAATTCCTGATTCAAACTTGCTGAATTTTTTAGGCAAACATTGATCATATCTAACTCTCGCAATGTTCTACAGATTATCCAATCATAATAACTTTGATTTTCCTCTCTCTCTCTCTCTCTCTCTCTCTTCATAATTCATAGGCTTAATTCCCTCATTAATTAATATAATATACTGTTAATTTTCATTAAAAATTTTTCCTAAGTGAATGATGTAAGAAAACTCTTATTAAACAACAATTGTGTGTTGCTTTGCTTGGGGTTTCTCCTTAATAATTTAATATAAGACCAGTTTTTTACTACGTTTTTTTTTATATATAAATTGGAGTTGATTGAATATGTAAGGATCAAATACTTTATTTGTAAAGCTTAGGGACGGTAAGGAACATTACAAAAAATTTTCATATACTAATGCTTAGTTATGTTGACAGTCAAATTGTATCAGTAAAAGAGACTTTTATTGATGGATTTTTAATACCGTTAGAATATACCATATTTATACTAATATTTTATTTAACTGTCAGTATAAATAAATTTTTTCTGACAGTATATGACTATCTATCAATATAAATATGTTATATATTAACGGTTATTAATGTAACAGTAAGTATAGGCTAAAAAAAAAATTGTTGGCTTTTATTTGGGAAAAAAATTAAGGGGCATTTGATAAAAGATTATTCAAGGTATTTTTTTACCAAAATGTCTTAAATAATCCCCTTTAAAAAATTAGAGATTAGTTAAGATATTTTTAGACTAAAAATACTTTAAATAATCTTTCATATTTTTTAAATGGTATTTATTTAAGATGATTTTGGACCAAAAACACCTTAAATAATTCTCTCAAATTTTTTAAATGACATTTATTTAAGGCGCTTTTAGATCAAAAATATCTTAAATAATCCCTTTTAAAAAAAAAATAATTATTTAGGGCATTTTTGGTATTATTTAAGGCGTTTCTCAATCCGAAATACCTTAAATAATTCATAATATTTTTTTATTGATGATATTTTATAAATAAAAACAACAATCAAATAAAATATTTGTCTTCTTTTACTGTTAAAGACATAATTTATCCTTTGGGTATTTATTATTAATAAAAATTAATAAAAAATTACTATCATATATGTCAAGAAAATTATAGTAATTATTCAGAAATTAATATATATAGATTTTCTCCAACTAAATGAGTGAAGCTAAATACCGAATACACTAAAAATTAAAAAAAACTCTGAGTATCATATTGTCTTAAGGATTACATTTTTTTTCAAAATCTAAGATATCATGAACCAAATGCCCTATAAATTTTTTACCACATTTTCATGGTTGATGATGAGGACTATTTAAGCATGCATTTTAATAAAGTGTACTAATATTCAGATTTTATAGAATAGAGGTTAACCCTTCATTTTATGGTTTAAAATCATATGAATAAATAAAAAATCGTTAGAGTTAATTAAATTGATAAAATTTGAATATTTTGTTTATAAAATTTAAATTTAAATTTCATTGTCAATAAAATTTTTTATAGATGATATATAAATTCAATATAAATTGCTTTATGGTCTATCCTGTTATTATAATAACGAAATCAATTTTCATTCTAAACTTTAAAAAAAAAAAAAAGAAAATGTTATTTTTCTTATGCTTCTTTGGGGAATATATAGCAATGGTTATATTCATAGAATTTCTGAAACTAAATAAAATAATTTCCTTTAATTAATTTTGCCTAGCAAAGTCGTTCAAAAGCTAAAACAATATTTAAAAGTTGGTCATTACTTGTTCATTTTGAAGGAAGATATCTATTTTCGGTTGTCTTTTATGTTGCAACTTCGAAATAACATGAGTCACGTGACCACTTGAATCCTTTAAATACAGCTGTCTGATTTCGTACAAAAAGAACAACGAATAATCAGAATTATTGTTTTTTGGCAGCCTGTCAGGGCAACCCTACTGGCTTATTGCTGAAATTTTAGCTGGCAGCACTTAACCCCAATCAAATACCGTTAAACAGGTCATGGTTGGGAAATGGGAATTCATTTTCCCTCTTTACACGCAAAATGAGAAAATAAAAAATCAATTTGAAATTTAAGATTCCATTCAGATTGTATTAATTTTTTTATTTAGTTTGATTTAAATTTTAATATTACATATTTTTATTAGGTTTAAATTATTAGAAAGTAAAAAAAAAAATTGAACATATTCTAATTAAATTAAATTATTTTTTTATTAGTTTATATATATTTTAAATTTTTATAAAATAAAAATATTTTATAGTTAAATTTATTTAAATATATTAAAAATTATATTGAAATAATATAAAAAATTTTAAAATGATTTTTAAAATCCATAAACTGAACCATAGAATGAACCTTAGATCAATTTTAAAAAAAATTTAATTCGAATTCGGATCGATTTTTGAAAATTCATAAATACAATATATTAATCAAAATAATCAAATAGAACCTTTATCATCCTTATCAAAAATTAAGAGAAAAAGCTGGTCTTTTTTTTAGTAGCTTTAATTTTATAAATAATTCTTAAATTATAAGGAAATATTCAATATGATATTTGAGTTGTAAAAATTTTTAATGTGATACATATATTATAAATCTATTAATTAATATGATATTTAAAAATTTTTTATTTATTATATGTCATCATTTGAAGTAAGTTATATTAAGAATGAGTACAACATTAATTAACAAATTTATAATTTAGATCTTACTTTAAATATGGTTAAAGTTCATACACTAAATTAAACATTTTATTATAATTTAGGGGTTATTTATGATATTAATCCTTTTTAATATATATTTTGTTTGTAAATAAGTATTTATGAAATGAAACCGAACCAATTATGAACAGATGGATGTCAACTATGAATTAGTAACATTGAAACTGACAAACATTGTTGCCATCTCCGAACAGCCCCATGTCTCTTTCTATTCTACATATCCAATAATTTTACTTGAGTAAGTTAATTATAATATATATATATATGTCAATTATAAAAAAAAAAAAAAATATATATATATATATGTATTGGTAGAACATTGTTGTTTTCATTGTTGAACCTCTGGTTTTTTGCAATTGCTTTAACCACCAACATCCCACCAGTCCACGAGTGACAAGTTTTTCCTGTAAAATGGGATTGTTCAAGGCTGCGGGCGTCGTTTACAAGCCGGTAGAGCAGATCGATCTTGGTCCTGGCAGCAATGAGTTTTATCTCAAAGCCAATGTCAAAGGTTTCCAATTTCTTCAAGCCATTTTCAGCATTCATAATCATCGTTATCATCATCTTCATCATCAGCTTGCTGTTACTTTTTTCTTTTACATCAAAACTCATACTTGCTTTATCTGATTTCAATGATTACTCTTCCTCGAACAAATTCTCAAGCTGTTGCTCAAAATGACTTCGTAAGAACCCAGATTACAAAATTGTTTTGAATCAGTATAAAACTGCTCGGAGGTATGCTGTTATTAGCTTCTGAAACCAACAGCTTAGAAGTCTCGTCGGAGATATCCTCATGGAATATATTTTTTAAGAATTTCTTTTGTTTAGTAAATGAATCAACAATTTCTGATAAATTGCAAATGTTCTTTCTCTAATTATGTTACTTAACATAGCAGTCGTTGACTTTCTGGTTTAAATGTGTTTGATTCTTGAAATTTAATTCAGGCAACAGAATTCAGGCTACCCTTCAAAACGGTGTTTTTTACTTGCATAATCTTCAAACTTGCCTCCTTTTACTAATTCAACCTCTTTATAATCTTTCAACCTGAATTTTACCATTTTTTTTCTGTACATATATAGCTCCTCGCATGGCTGGATTTCTGGTTAAAATCTTTGCCTGGTTCCTGGAGTCAAGGATCATAGGAACATTGTTGTTGTACATTTTGAAGAGGAACAATCTAATTCACAAGGTACAAACTTCTTTGCTTAATTTTCTTTCTCTCCCAACATTCTTTTAGTACAATTTGAAGGAATGCCTTAAATGGTTCTGGTTCACCTCCACATTGAAATCAACAATTGTATGACGGATGAAACCCAAAAAAAAAAAAAAAAAAACTCCCAAATGTTTGTAAAGATTTAGCCAAGATTTTACTAGTACGTCTGTCTAGAGACAAAGTCTGACACTGCGTCTGTGGTTCAATAGCTGCAAACGTGTTTTATCTTTTACTAATACCCACTTTGGTAAAATTTTCCTACGATTTCATGCGGAAAAGTACAAAGTATAATTGGCCGACATTTCAGAATTATTCCATAATATAGTTAAAAATTGTTTGTTACCATTTTACTTGGTGTTCTTTCTCTTTACTTCTCTCAAATTGTTTGATGAGGATCAAATTTGGCGAAAGTTGGGAAGAGAATAATAAAATTTTGAGAGTATTTCAACTATAATTATAATTATAATACAATTAATTAATCACAATTTAAAATTTTGTCAAAATTCATTAAAATTTTATATAAAACTTACATTTATAAGTGGTGCATTCATATATAATTTTTTATTGTAATTGAACAATTATAATATTGTAGGAAATAATAGTAGGTAAATATTTCTTAAAATTTTATGTAAATCTACAATTTTAAACATTGATAGACATGTTTTTCCAACATATCTCTGCCTTGACTTACAAAGGTATGTATAACTCTACTCATTTTATTCAATTTTAGACAAAAGGTGTCTTAGTATTGCGTTTGCCAGGGCCAGGGCCAGGGCTAGATCTCGCTTTCTTAACAATGAAAACAAATTTAATTCAATTAGTTTCTCCAACCACCCTTAAAATATGACTTTCAATATGTTTGAATTTTAAATCTCAACATCTATAACTTTTTCTCTTATTCTCATATTGTAATACATGATCTTCGCCACTTTTTTCAAAGTCTGTACTTCCTGTAGGTTTTTTTGTTCTCTATTCAATGTAAAGTTGAGTTGAACTTTGAAAGTCCTTAGTCATGGAACTTCTGTCTGCATATAGAACCAAATAAAGTTATAACCCATGTCTACTTTTTTCTTTTATTACCGGTACATATGGCATGGAAGTCAATGTTGCTTGACTTTTTTGTTACAACAACTATTGTAAATATTACCAAAGATTTTTTAAAGTGTTAAACCATAACAAAGTTTTAATTCATGTAGTATACGTATATGTTGAAGAAATAATGTTTAGAGGTTAAAAATGTTAGTAAATACAAGGCTTAAAGATTACAAAATAATGTGAACTTTGTAGATGATCTTGAAATTTTCTTATAACCTTTCCTTTTGTACCTTGGTTGAATCAAAATGGAATCTTTAATAATGAAATACGAATGGCTTCAAGACTTATACCATTGTCCTTAAGGGTTATTTCACTTTTACCAATAATGGTATGCAAAAGAGGTTAAATTGAAATGCCTCTAGAATACAATGAAAATCACTTTATACTAGTGAAATCCAACCACTAAAAACTCTTTGATGAGAGACAAAAATACCTTGTCTTTAACAAGGGTTTTTGTAACAAATAATGCCAAAGAAAAAAGTCTTTTGTTAAGAAAGAATGAGAGAAAAGAAAAAAAAATGAAATCTTAATCTTTGAATATGTCAAATTAATGAACTTACAACAATTTATATTTATAGAGATTGAATCATAAGATTGTGATTCTTTGATTGTGTTGTTTTCAATCAAAATCACTTCCTTTGATTAAAAAAGTATCCTTCGAAATAATCAAAGACGAATTAGTTCAGTAAACTAATCAAACTTTTAATACAAGAAAAGCCACTTTTCACGTTTCTAAAAATTATAACTTTTTATGCAGAGCAATCAATTCTACCTTTAAGGCAGTCAATTACACTTTTGTATTTTCAATTTCCAAAATGTTATTTGGAGTAGGGTAGTTGACTCATCCTTAGAGTAACGGATTCTTATCAATTTCCATAATGTATTCATCAGTTGAACAATCGACTTCTATCAATTTTCATAATGATTCCACTTATAAGTAGTATAATCCTCTACAAGAATAGTCACTTACTTTGGCTAGCTTCATTTTTCAAATGATTTTTTAATCAGTAGCAGTTGGTTTCCTAGGGTTAGGAATCGATTGGATTGATTTCCCATTATAGCAGTTGATTGCCTTCAGTTGGCAGTCAACAGCTAATTGTATAGATTCTTTATTTTGCTTTTGTTTAACATAGAAGTTGACTCCCATGCCATTGATAGCTTATTGCTCATCTTAAAATCTAGGTAGTCAACTATTTTATGCATGATAGTTGAATACTTACATGCGCAACCTTTTTAATTTGATTTTTTTATGCATTGAATCAGACCTTATGATTTTGAGACCTTTCTTCAAGCTATTGTATAGCTTAAATATAATTTCTCTTAGTTTATAATTTTCATATTTTTTTAAATAGGGTAGGTTTCATATATATGAAAATCTTATGCATAGATAAATATATCATGTGACATGATTCCAAATCTTCACTTTTGTGTTAAAGTATTGTTGATCTAATAAATTGAATGATAGATCTTATTTTTTGAACCAACCAATATATATAACTAGCCATGCACTAAATCATACATAAGATTTCATATCCCACCAAAATGTTATTTAGCAAATACTTTGACCCAATTTCAATGGCTATGTGTTTTATGTATTCATAAGTGCTTTTAGAGTCAAGTACTTTGCTCCTAGAAATGACACCACTTCCACATATATAAGTAGACTCCATCATAAATGCAACCATATAAGCATTCCAACACTTAATTTACATGTTATGGATCCATTAAGAGTTTATACTTAACTAACTTATAAAAATATTATAAAAATATGGTAAAGTACTTATCTATCTTGGGATGATACTAAATTAAGTACTTGCAATCATATTGAAATGATGTATTTTTACTCATTAAAACTCAAGACTTAATGTGCAATTAAGCATTAAGTTGATTAAGTTTCATCATGTGTAACTTATTTAAAAGGCTTGAGTCTTATCCCTTTGGAAGTTTTAAACATCATATCTTTTAATAATCTTTTCGCCAATGGATTCGTAAAGTTTTCAGTTGACTTGACAAAATTAATGGTGATCACCCTATTTTATATAAGACAAAATTATGTCTTAGATCAATATGTCTAGACTTCCCATTGTACAATTGGCTATAAGCCTTTAATAATGTAACTTGACTATTATAATGAATAGAAATTAATGACATTGGCTTTGGCCATAAAAGGATTTTAAGTAATAACTTCCTTAACCATTTTGCTTTTTTACAAGCTGAAGTCATGATTGCAAATCCTAAAGTTATAATAAAATCAGTTATGTATGTTTGTTTCTTAAATCCCTAAAAAGTACAATCCCACCAATCATAAAAATCCATCCACTTACATGTGAATGATCTTTTAGGCTAGTTATCCAACTTGTATCAGTATATCCTTCTAATACCGAAGGATCACCATTATATGGAGTGTCATACTTCATAGTTTTTTTCAAGTATTTAAAGACATTTAAAATAGTATTCTAATGCAAATTATTTGGGTTACTTGTATATCTACTAAGCTTATCAACTGCATAGGCTATATTTGATCCAATGCATGTTATTGTAAACATTAAATATCCTATAACCTTTGGATATTCAAGTTGTGGAATCGACATCCCTTTATTTGGATTTAACTTCAAATTTGGATCCAAGGGTGTTGAAACTATTGCACTATTTAAATGATTAAACACATTGAGAATTTTTCTCAAAACAATGTGATTGATTTAAGATTATATTAGAGTTTTCTCTAATTAACTTGATTCCCAAAATCATGTTTGCAACAACCATGTCTGTTATAGCAAAATAGCTAGACAAGAATCTTTTGGTACTTTCAACTTTTTCTAATTTGTACCAAAGATCATGTCATCAATATATAAACATATTATGACCTTTGTTTGTTTAAACTTCTATAAACACATTTACCAAATTCATTAATTTTGTATCCATTAGCTAGAACTATATCATCAAATTATTTATGCCTTTGCTTAGGAGCTTGTTTAAGTGTATATAATGACTTAATCAATTTACACATTCTTTTCTTAACCTAGAAGTACAAACCTTCTGGTTGTTTCATATACATTTATTCATTTAATTTACCATTCAAGAATGCTATTTTAACATTCATTTAATGAATTTCAAGTTTATATATAGAAGCCAATTCTATTAGCATTTTTATAGTATCAATTCTTGCCACTATTGCATATGTATCTAAATAATTGATTCTATTCTTTTGTGTAAATCCATTAATAACCTTGTTTATAGTCCCATCAACTTTCATTTTCTTTTTGAAAATTCATTTGCAACCATGACATAAATCAGCTAAGATCTATACATTATTTCTCATAATTGAATCCATCTTCATTATTTATTTTTTTTTCAAAAAATTACATCTTGAGACTTCATTGCCTCATCAAATGACATAAGATGCAATTCCACATTAAAACTATATTTAATATGTATATTAATATTTTCCTTTATTCTTTCAACTAGGAACATATAGAAGTTAGAGCCAAAGTTTTAACTTTTTTTACTTTTTTACTTGTTCTAGACACAAGGCTTTCTTATTTTTCTATGGAAGTTTCTTACTCTTTTGAGCTATCTAAAGCATTGTCCATACAATTAGATTCTAGTTTGAATTTACATTCATCAAATATGGCATCTCTAAATTCAATAATTGCATTAATATGTATTGAATCATATATTTCTATTACCAAACCTATATGCCTTGCTATTTTGAGTATATCCAATGAATATACATTCAATTCTCTTTTCATCTAATTTCTTTCTTTTAAGTTTGAAAAATCTTACAATTGTTCCACAGCCTTATATCTTAAGATAACCTAAGTAAGGCTTTCTTTGTTTCCATAGTTTCATATGGAGTTAAACTTATTCCGTTCCTTTTGTTA